TCCTCCATACCTCTACCTTAGCACCTCAAAACTAAACTTGACTCAAACCAAGGATCCATACGTGTCAATTACAGTATGTGCCAGTGACATAGACCATAACTGGCACCAAAGGAGTGCAACAGGCTAGAGGGATGGCCCAGTGGTTAAGGGCATCAGCTGTTCTTCCAGAGGACTGAACTTTGGTTCCCAGCACCTATATCAGGTGACTCACAAGCACCTTTAACTTCAGTTCCAAGGGATTACACTTCCTCATAAGTACCTGTGAGTACTTCCTTTGAGAGTACCGGTATCATGTGCTCTGTTGCACAGGAATGTCCTCAGAAAGAACACGGACAGACGCCATCGTTCCAAGCTTGGTTGCACCTCCATGCCTAGGATCACAGCTAAGTTTGTTGACTATTATGCTCCACAACTAAGGAGGGGCAGGGAGAGTCACCCACACCTCCTGACCAGCCAGTCAGTGGGCCCTAGTTGCATGAGGGCAAAAGGCTAATGATATAAAAACTGAGGACACCAAGGAGAGGCTCTCTCACCATTTTGTGCTGCTGTGGGGTAGTCACCATCCACACTTAGATGAAGACTTTCTAGTGAGGCCTTAGGAGGGGAGCAGCCACACTCCTGTAAGTAAACCCTCATCCATTGCTCCACAAGCAAGCCCAATAAACTCAATGGTTTCCCAGACTCAGTTTGGAGAAATCACACCTTGGTTTGTTCTAGTGACCAAGGGAGAAAGGAGCAGACATTGTTTATGCCTCCCAGAAGTAATTTTAGCAATATGCCCATACCCAAAGACACACATATAAACAACTCAAAATAAATCTTTAAAAAAAAAAAAAGCAGAGATGGCTCAGTGGTTAAGAACATTGACTGTTCTTGCAGAAGATCCGGGCTCAAATCCCAGCACCCACATGGTAGCTAACAACTGTCTGTAACTCCAGTTCCAGGGGATCCAACAGCCTCTCCTGTCCTCCGCCAACATTGTATGACATGGGTGCCCTTACTTACATGCAGGCATAACACATACACATAAAATAAAAATAATAAATAAGGGGCTGGAGAGATGGCTCAGCGGTTAAGAACACTGGCTGTTCTTGCAGAAGAACTGGGTTTGAATCCCAGCACCCACATGGCAGCTAACAACTGACCGTAACCCCAGTCCCAGGGGATCCAACAGCCTCTTCTGACCTCTACGGGCATTGCACAACATGTGTGCACTTACCTACATGCTGGCAATACACACATACACATAAAATAAAAATAATTAATAAAATTAAAAATAAATAAATAATAAGTATTTTTTAAAAAAGAACAAAATGGGAAAACTTAATGAAAGGATTAACACAGAATATGTTATTCTCTTCGGTTCTAGAAATTCATGAGTCCAATATATTCAGTATCTAACTAACTGAGATTAAATGCATGTACCACTCACCAGGAAGTTTCTAAAGCTGCTACACTTCAGTGATTAAATGTTCATAAATGTCTTAAATAGCTACATTTTTTTCCATGGAAAAGAGAAAGAAATCCCCCCAAAATGCTTCTTTTTAACAAAATTTTATTGAATTTTTATGTATTTCATACAAAACCTCTTAAATGACTTTATACCCCCTTCTACATTGGCACGCGCCCACAGGCCCCCCCCACTGGAATTCATACATTCTGTCATCGTGTTAAGGCCTAGCATGTCATTAATGTCCCCAGATGTTCCTCAGTGCAAATTCATCCACTGAGGTCTAGTCAGCCTATCTAGAGTCCCTCCCTTTAAGAAGATCAGCTCTTCCTCACCCAGCAGTAATCAGCTGCTTCAACAAAGACTGGGGCCTGATGCCCATTTCCACAGTTCTGTGTTGGGTTTTTGTCTGCTTGAGTTTGCATGGGCCTTGTGCGTGCTGACACCATTGCTGTAGGTTCATATGAGCAAGGGCCCAGGAGCCGTATGGTCATGCACCTCCTCCCTGGCTCTTACAATCTTTCCTCCCCCTCTTCTGCAATGGTCCCTGAGCCCTGGGTGGATGGAGTTTAATAAAGAAGTCCTGTCCAAGGACCCACACTCTGTAGACTCTTGTTCTCTACATTTTGGCCATCTGTGACCTCCAAAAAGAATGCTTCTAAATGCATACAAGAGACTCTGACCAGTTCTTTTCTGCAGGCATGACAAGATAAAATAAAGAAACTCAGCATGTCAGGAGAACAAAGCAGACATTCTCCTTGGCTTCTTCTCTTTCCAGCAAATCACTGCACCATAATGTTTTTTTGTTGTTGGTCTTTTTGAGACAGGGTCTCCCTGTTGTTCCAGCTGGCCTCGAACTCACAGAGGTTCACCTGCCTCTGTCTCCCGAGTGCAGGGACTAACAGCGTGCACCACCATACCTGGCTGTTCTATCATTCTTTTAATCATTCCTTGAATCCTTCAGCATGGCTGAGCACCTGACACGAGCAGTAAAACTACTAAAGAAATGAAGATTCATCTCACATTTGAAATTTTAATAATCATTTACTGAAAAAGTATCTCCAAGTACCCAGCTGTGAGTTTCACAGAAGCCTGGTCTCAGGATTCTGAACCTCAGGTTCACCAGGGGGCTTCCCTGAAACCCCACACAGGAGGATGGGTCTGCATGGTTCTAGAAAGGCTGGCATGGCTTACATTAATCTCATTAACCCCAAACGAAAACTATCACCAATGTGATGGTGCCCAGTATTTAGCACAAACTTCCAAAAACTATTTAAAAAAAAAAAAAGAGGTGAAACTCGGCCCCCAGACCTGCTAAGCCTCACAGTCTGCTCCTTTCAGAAGCTTCAAGAGAAATGGGTCAACTTACAACTCTTTCTCAGTGTTTGGCTGCCCTCTAGTGGTGTCTAAAATAGTCACAGCAAAACACTAACAACAAAGTAGTATCAGTGCTATGAGAAGTAAAATTTAAAATGACATTAGAGGCACTGAGGAGCAACACAATGGCTGAGCTCAATCCCCAGTGCATGTGTACACACACACACACACACACACACACACACACACCACACATGGACACACACTCCAAACACACATACCATACACCGCTTAGACATACACATACTACACACACAGTACACACATTCTCACACCAAACACACATACCACACACACACACACACACACACACGCTCCATACATGCACATACACTCCAAATACACATACCATACACCACTTAGACACACACATACTACACACACTCTCACACTAAACACACATACCACACACACACACACACACACACACGCTCCATACATGCACATACACTCCAAATACACATACCATACACCACTTAGACACACACATACTACACACACTCTCACACTAAACACACATACCACACACACACACACACACACACACGCTCCATACATGCACATACACTCCAAATACACATACCATACACCACTTCGACACACACATACTACACACACTCTCACACTAAACACACATACCACACACACACACACACACACACACGCTCCATACATGCACATACACTCCAAATACACATACCATACACCACTTCGACACACACATACTACACACACTCTCACACTAAACACACATACCACACACACACACACACACACACACGCTCCATACATGCACATACACTCCAAATACACATACCATACACCACTTCGACACACACATACTACACACACTCTCACACTAAACACACATACCACACACACTCACACACACACACACAAATGACACTAAAAAGGTGTACCTAGCACAGTTTCAACATATTGCTAAACTTCCCATTATCCAGTAAAATTTAGTCATTATAAGCATGCTTACCTTCAGAGTAGTTTAGCAGAAAGCTAAGTATACGCTATTTCTTTCTGATGGAGAGCGTGGAGCTATAGCAGACATACGCACCACATACAGTCAGTCTCTCCCACATTGGAGATGGCTGGCCTGCAGACACAGCCTTCCAGCTTGCAGCACACATGCCTGGCTTGGTGAGCAGCTGGTGGCTGGTATGTAAGTTTCCCAGTGTGTGGCCATATTCACGGCATGTCCCCAGTGAGCAGGCACAGAGCATGCTCAGCCTTACCCAGTACTTGTGCCTGCCCCACAAGTATGAGGACCTGAGTCTGGATCTGCAGCACCCATGTGCAAGTTAGTCATGGTTCCTGAAGCTTCTCCACCTGTAACCCTTCAGCATCACTGCTCACCCTGCGGGAATGTCCCTCCCCCACATGGCAGAGTTCATTCCTTCACTTCCCTCAGTCTCTCACTGGGTATTTCTATCACCACAGAAAGTTCCACTGGCTAAAGAGCCCCTCCTAAAGCCCTCAGCTTCCTCCCCTCAAAACCATCTCTTGACCCCAACTTCCCCTTAAAGACCTTAGTAATAACAACTATGGACCCAGGGCTCTCCCAGACCAAAGGACCTATCACCAATGAAGTGACTTCACATTAGCAGGAGAGGTAGAAAGGTCTCCCATATTCCAGGACTTTCCAGGATGCTGGTGTAGGCAGTGCAAGGGCTGCACTCACCTCACAAGACCTGGAGCTTCTGGTTAACTAAATAAAAACCTTTCCAATACCAGGGCTTACCTAGAAAGTTGGTGTCCTGGGCTTGATCCCTAGCACCTCAAAAAAGGGGAGGCTGATATTAGAAAACAACTTCAGTACATGAATGACCTTTAAATACCAGGGTCACTCAGGAAACACTTGCCCATGTGACAAGGATGCAAATACCAAACTAAGGTGAAAAGGAAACTGAATTATGAGCCATGCTTTAAACTCATCTAGTAACTCTCTCCACAGACCTCTAACAAAAGCCCATGTTAAACAGGAACAACTGTGATTGAGTTGAAATCTGGGAAGGCATCAAAGTCCTTGTCTTGCAAACTGCAACAGTGCCACCAAGAACAATCATTCGTGGGCCAATGAAAGCTGTATGCTCTAAATTGCAAAATCAAAACAATCTTTTCTGCCATGCATAACATATGAGTAATTAAAGGAAATTACCTCAATAACAGGTACATTTTCCTGAAGCTCCGCTGTGTGTGAGGCCAGCAAACCAATCACTCGAGCAACCTTGGACCGTCTGAGGAGAGAGAATACAGGCTCTGAAGTGCAGTCAGGGACCAACAGGTCAGCCAGGCCCTGCCAGCCACACTACATGATGACACGTGTTAGACATAAGAAGGTGAAGTGGGGCCAGCGAGATGGCTCAGGAGGTAAAGGCACCCGCTGCTAAGCTTGACAACTTGGAACTCAGAGAGTGGAAGGAGAGAACAGACTCCTGCAAGTTGTCCTCTGACCTCCACGTGTCCTGGGGCATGCATATGTAGACAGACAGACAGACAGACAGACACACACACACACACACACACACACACACATTTTTTTTATTTAAAGCAATTTTATTGCTTCAGTACACAAGACAAATTTATGCCATAAGAGCAGAGGTGTTGGATAACAAATATTTCCAGTTGGGTGGGAGGTTTCCTCTGACCCCCACGTGGCGTCGGGCATATATATATAGACAGACAGACAGACAGACAGACACACACACACACACACACACACACACACACACATTTTTTTTTATTTAAAGCAATTTTATTGCTTCAGTACACAAGACAAATTTATGCCATAAGAGCAGAGGTTGTGGACCCAATTGGGTGGGAGGACTCATTTAGTTTTATAATAAGGAGCCAATGGGTGAATTCTGTTCCCTATCAAAATCAGGCGGAATTTAGGATCCTTATCCTTTCTGTTCCTCTCAAGATGCTTTTGAACAGCAACTACTTTCTTAATTAAATGGTAGAGAGTCTCAGGAAAATCAGGAGCAAGTCCTTTGGACTTAAGGATTCTCAAAATTTTACTCCAGTCACAAAATGAACATGTGTAACACCATGTGAGCCCCTCAGGATCATACCAATTTGTGAGGGAGGCAGGCCTTTCCTGGCCAGTTTGTAAATTTGCTCCTTCATGTTGTCAGATGTCAGCTTCAGCCAGGTGGGGACGCTATGGCACTAGGGCAGAGCCAACTGGGGCAGGCCCTTCCTGGGAGCATGCGGCCCATGATGGCAGTGCACTGGCAGCAGAGAGAGAACACTAAATGAAATTTTTAAAGGAAGTGAAGTAAAACCCATCATATTGGAGACCCACATTCCCCTTTCCTACAGCCAGATAAACTCCCTCACGTGCTCAGGGAACATGAACAGCAAAGTCCTCTGTGATACTAGATGTCACACTGACAAAATTAACAGCTGTGTCTTAATAATGGAAAACAAAACTCCTACCTGAGCACAGAAACATTTCACTACGTCTCTGGTGAACTTGTCAGTAACTAAAAAGTTTCTAAATAATATCAACAGCTGAGCACATGTTATATTCACTCTAACAGAAAACTCTGAAAGCTGAAGTCTTATGAATACTCTTCTATTTTAACAAATGTGCCATAACCATGTCCCATTACAGTTAATACATGAATAAAACAACCTGACTCTTCAAGTTTAGTTAAAAGAGTCTGAACTCAGAGGATATCAGTTCCCCAGGTGTCTCCTGGAACCATGCTGCAGTCAGGCCTTACCCAGACTTTTATTCAAAAATCATTTCTCCCACAGCAATTTTGGGGAACCACAAATTTAGATCTGCCCTTATCAGACAGTCTTGCCTGTTCATTCCTAAGCCTAAAACACCTCATACACACAATGTCAGGTGTTCTTCCCAATCTTCATTGTTTTCAATGAAGATGTGCTGCCTTTCAGAGGTTTGTTAATTCTAGAGTACATACACACACACACACATTCATTATCTTGGGATAATGAATTGAGGTTCTCAGGAATCAGGGTCAAATGCCCAGTTCACAAAGGCACATGGTTCACTGAGTTTGCCAAGGTTAATTAAAAGTCATTAGTCCAAATTCTGCTCATTTTATAAAAGTTATTTCTACAGCTGAACATTGGTTTTAATGAGATGTTTCTTTAGTATCCACCACAAAATGAGGATGATAAATTACTAAACACTTCAGGGTGATTTTAAAAAATATTTACTGTAGAAAATTGACATTATTAAAGTCTTTTTTTCCAGCTGGGCATGGTGGCATACACACCTCTAATCCCAGCCCTCGGGCAGAGGCAGGTGGGTCTCTGAAATGGAGGCCAGCCTGGTCTACATATAGAGTTCTTTTAAGAAGACATGAAAGGAGGAGGGGTTTGTTGAGGAGTTTGGTGGGAGGGGGAGGGGGAGGGGGATAAGAGAGGATAATGGGGGGATGTGATCAAAGAGCGTTCCATGTATGAGACCATTAAAGAACAGTTTTTTAAAACACGTTTTCGTTGAAAGCTGGGAAAGTGAACATCTGTGAGGCGTGCTCTCATTGGCTGCTGCTGACTGTTTTCTGGTCCCCTTAGTATGGTCCATTTTTAAGTTTCTTAGGATCAACTTTTGCAGGACTCATGAAGGAACAAGTCAGACACAGAAGTGCCACAGGGAAAACATGGCATCCCGCCTCCACAGATCAACATGTGCTAATTGCCTGCAATGACCAGCATCCCACCTCTGAAGAAAAGGTGATCATTTTGAAACAGACTTGGTAGGACAGTGAATCAAGAATTACCACCCCCAAAAAAACAAGTCACAGCTTAAAACTGTTACCCCAAAACCCATCTGGGAAGACTTGGTCCCCAGCCCTCAGCACCAGTGGCAGGTGATGGACCTTTAAGCAGCAGGGCTTGGGGAAAGGGGGTCCATAGATGGGGAAAGCTCTACTCTTTCTCATTGCCTCCTGGCGCCATGGAGTGAGCAGGCCCCCTCCACCCAGTGTGCTGTCTCTACCACAGGCCCAAAATAAGGCCAGTGAACATTTGCTGGAACCTCTAAATCTAGGCCAAAATAAGTGCTTCCTCCTAAGGGTTACGCTTGGTATTTGTCATAGCAGCAAAAGCTGACTAACACAGCCACTGGTGAACTGTGACCACAACAAAATCAGTTCTGCTGCAGGTCTCCACAGCCATGCCTGTCAAAGGCATGGCTGGATTAACATCTGCATGTTACAGCTTCACAACTATAAATCAAATGTTATCAAAAACTCAATCAACTGGCCGGGCGTGTTAGCGCACACCTTTAATTCCAGCACTCAGGAAGTAGAGGCAGGTGGATCTCTACGAGTTCACGGCCAGCCTGGTCCACACAGTGAGTTCCAGGACAGCTGGGGCTACAGGGAGACCCTGTCTCAAAAAGACCAAAAAA